TTAGCTTCGTTAAAATTTGTACCTGTTTAATAATTTGAGCGATTTAAATCTCTGAAACTAAAAATAAATAAATAAATAAATAGAAATAGAGAATACCTCTCTGACAAATTTTTTATAATATTCGTCGTCACTTTTATGTCTACCATCCTTTAAGTATTTAAGGGCAACGTTCCTGTCGAATTCGATTTGATAAGCCTTTTTGATACCGCTTAATTCTGTTATCAAACAAGGCTCAATTACTTTAAGTGAATCATAATTAAATTCTATTATGTGTCCATTATCGATAGCATCATTGAGCCATTTTGAAAGATTCCTAGACGACCCCATTCTCATTAAAATTTTTTACAGAAACCGTGTGGAAATAAATATATAAACCGGTGATACGAAATTATATAAATTGTTACGCTTATACAGTAATTACAAAAGGTCGATCCCGATAAAATTAGGTACAGTATCAAGTTTCCGAGAACCAATCCAGACTCCGAAAAAGGTCACTATTTTTAAAATTTCCATACGTGCATATACAGTGTGAAACAAAAATAATTGGAAAAAATCAATATTGTATTTTTATTAATAATTTGATAATTAATTAATTAAGATAAAATGCATATGTATGTATTTAGATATACTGTATAAAGAATATTAAAATATATTATTATTATTAAATTATAATTAAAAAAATCTCAATTTTAATATATATATATAAAGTATTTAAATTTAAATCAATAAAACTTTAAAATATTATTTTTAATAATATTTTAAATTCTTTTTGATTCTGTGTTCAACTCTCAAGTTTATATTAAATTTAATAGGTGAGGTATATTCCACTATCATTTTTAATAGTGTTCTGAACCTTATGCAATTCTATATAATTCTGTTCAATTCAATTTTTAGAATTATATTCATAAATATATTTTATTAAAAAAAACAATTATGTATATTTAATAATTTTTTAATAATTAATTTATAATATTATAAATTTCTTTATAATCAAAATATTATTTTTTATATATTTTTATATATTTTTAATATTTTAATTGATATTTTTTTTAGGTGAAAAGTACTAATATATATAATTTTTATTTTATTTTTTTTAATTAGTTAAGGATATAGATGCAAGGTTTTTATTAATATTATATATGAATATCTTATTTTATTACATTAAATATCTTTTATAAACTAGACTATTTCTAATCTAAATATAGCTTAATACTATCTAGTGATTACTATTTTCAATAGTACTGATTTTACTTAAATCAATTTAACTATCTTAATTAACTGACTTGTATTAAATAAATAGACCTGTCTTTAAGTAAAACTTATATAAGGAAAAGAAATTCTATTACTAGTTTAAACCTATTTAACCTATTGATTCAATTATATTTTTTGGCTACCTACTGAAAAAGGTTATATGAAATATTTTATCTTGTAAATATTATATGTATTGAGCATTTAAATAAAATTTATTAACTAGTATATATTTTATTGAAATTTATATAATTGACAAGTTTATTAAAAATTTTTAAATAAAAAAAAATTAAAAATTTTAATTAATTTATAAAATATTTGATTTATTAATACTAATCATATAAATTTTTATTGTAAATATGTATTTCTATTAAACAAATTTTTAATAGAAGATTGTTTATATTGTAATCTATAATAATATAAAACTTAATTAATTAATTAATTAATAATTGATAAATTCTTTATGCTAATATTAATACTATTATTATTCTATTATTTAAAAAATAATAATAATTTTTTTAATATATTTTTGCTTTTTTTTAAGAAATTTTTGTTTTTTATATCAGAATTATTTTTTTATCTTCTATTTCTTTAGATTTATTATTGTAATTTGGAATCTTTTAAATATATCATTATCATTTAATATTTTAATACAATTCTCTATATTGTCAATATCAATAAATTCTATATTTATTTTTTTTTTTAAGTTTAATCAGCTGGGCCTTGCCTAGTATACTTTATTATTTTATTCACATATGTAATTCATGTATTACAGAAACTACTATCTATAAATAATTCTACACATCGCTAGACTATATCGACCTACTCCATATTAGCTTGTTGCTATCAGCATTACTCCAAAGGAGTTGTGCTAAAGCTAATATGCCAAAGCTCCGTTAGTGTTATTATTATATCATTATATTCTATTTGGCACTGTGTGAAGTTAAAGGAGAAGTTTAAATGTGGAGAACTGGAAGTAGTACCTATTTTTGATAAATAGAACCACTGCAGGGAGAATTCTTCTAGACCCAACCATCTGCAGATATGTATATCATTTAATTTTCACTTTTCTAGAGCTACTCAAAAACGTTCAAGAAACTTATCTCATAAACTTATGGTCTATAGATTGTTTCAGCTATCAGTACTTACTGCTGTTTTGGTTGCCTTTTTGGGATAGGTAAATGTTGAAGTGATCTATTACTGGATTGGAATAAGACCTTTCTGGAAACTTGCAGGAAGAGACACCAGGTACTACAGGGAAATAATTACCAAGCCATCTTTTACCAAAAGCAGACACCTCATACACTTTATAACTTCTGGCAATTATCATAACACCAACTGAATGATTGTCGCACCATGACACTTTTTCTGGAAATCACAATCTCAACGCCCACTGAATTAGCATATGAAACGGTTTCTCATAAGAAACAATGCTTATACAAGTTATGGCACCAAATATCATATTAATTCTATTTAATTGCCCTTACATGGGATTGAACTGGTATCTTGTGATTTGACCTGTGGAGTGTTAACCACTACACTATGAACCCACAGGTATTCAATAAATTCTATATTAAATATAATATTAAAATAAGTATTAATAATAAAATAATTATAATTTTTTTTACTTATTATTAGCAGATAATAAATCCAATAAATTTAGTTAATCAATTAAATCTTAAATTAATATTTGTTGATTATTTGCTTCTTTTTCAATTTTTTCATTAGCTTGATTTATTATCATATTATTATTAATATTACTAATATTAAAAAAATGTTCCAAAAATAATAAATTGACCTGTAGATCTATAGTACAATAATTAGTGCTTCACAAGTTAGATTATAAGATATTAGTTTAACCCAAGTGAAAGTGGTTAAATAAAACTAATAAAGTATCCAGTATTATAACTTATCAAATGTTATTTCTCATATAAATGTTCTATAGATAATAAGATTACAACTATTAAAAAGGATTGTAATATAACAATTATTCAATTAGAGATATAATGATCACTAAAAGCAATAAGAAGTGCAAAGATACTGGGTTTAATAAGAAAAAAAAAGAATTGGTGATCATTTCTCCATAGATATTAAGATGTCTCTTCTAGGAAAAACTTTATTTTAATTCAATAATACATTGTTTTGCAAGTTACTTATTTTGAAAAGGCAACATAAAATAACAAAAAGTCCTTAGCCATTCTTGGATAACTCAAAAAAATAAAAATTACAATTAATAATGTCAAATAAAAAAATGAATAAAAGTAATACTTGGTTAAGTAAGCAGAACAGCAAACTATATCTAAATAGTTTAGGCTTGTAGGTAGGTTCTAGTTAATATAAGATTAATATAACATAAAAATTTAGATATACTACATATATAATAAACTATTTATATTAATAAGACTAGAGTATTGTCTTGCTTTAATAATTTAAAAAAAAAAATTTCAAAAATAATATTGAAAGAATACTAATTTTATATCAACAGTTTTAAATTGTTTCTCTAATAATCTTATTTCATGTATTAGAAACATTATAAATAGAATATTTTATATTATATTTATCAATTCTATTTTATGAATTACTTTTTATAATATTATTAAATATATCATATATTTAATAATATTATAAAAAGTAATATAAAAAACTATTTATCTAATATTAGTTATATCATATAACTAATATTAGATAAATAGTTTTCTATATTGTGCTTTGAAACTATAAATAATTTTAGTATCATCTGATTGCAATATTGAAATAGTATTAAAAAGTAAAAACCTAATAATTATATTGGTTGATTCATTTTCTAAAATAATTTTGTGTATGGTTACATTGTTTAAAAAAAATAATATATTTATTTTAATATTTCATTTGTTAATTAAATTAATTTAATCAATTGTTAAATATAAATACATATTTTAAAATTAAATTTAATATTGCAAAATAATCAGTTCAATTTTTTCCTGTACTATCTTCTACATCACAAATTATTATAACCAAAATTTTAGAATCTTTATTAATATTTATAACTATCTTTATTTTCTTTATTACAAAAAAAACAATAATACAAAAATCTAATATATCATATCTATATAAACTAAATGTTAACTCCTAGGTATTATTCTGACAAGTATTATTAAGAACTTTTTAAGAAATTCTATTCAACTTAAAATTTAAAGCCAACTTCAAACTGTTTCAAATCCAAACTTTTCTAAATATTTTAATTAACAAGTCAAAATATCATATAGCAGATATATTAAGTTAGTAAATATAAAAGTTCAAAATAAAAACATTTAATCAAATAGATTATAAAAGATAGTTTAAAAAATTATTATTACCTAATTCAAAAGACAAGTTATTAATTTTACAAATCCTCTCCAACATATATAGTATCTCTCTTCTTACCAATTACATATATTTCACTAGTATAATATAATGGATCAAGTTTATTAACTATTATAATAACTTTTTTAACATTATACTTAATTAATTAACAATCTATAAACTTATGACAATATTAACTCTTAAATTTATTTTCAAAGCAAATAAAAAATTGGAAAAAAATTATTAATTAAAGTTCAAAAACCTATCAATATTCAGAATCAAGCTTATTATCAATTAGCTATCAATAAGAACAAAACTCTATAATATCAGGAAATTTTTTTGGTAGAGATTTTTGGAGATCTCCACCCAAAAAAATTTTTTGAAAATTTCTGGAAAAATCTTCGAAAAAATAATAAATTCCAGAAATTTTTATTTCAAAAAAATTTAAAAATCTTTGAAGTAATAATAATT